GCTTCTTTCATTGCTTCTTATACTACACTCGTAGAAATGATGAGTTGTTCCAGCCCTCCGATTGGTCCACACAGGTGGATGAGCTCATTTGTTTTGCCAGCGGTTGACGGTAACGCGCCTGCGTGACCGCGCCCTTTGGAACAGGTGCGCTCGGTGACGTCACCCAACCCAGGAGCAGTGAGCACACAGAGCAGAGCAGACCGCATGAGGTGAGGTCGAGCTAACGAAACTATAGAGTATTCATTTTTTTCATTGTTGTTCGGATACTGTACCGGATTTCAACATTTCAAAACTTCAGCAAACGTCGTATCTTGTTTTTAGTAGCAGTTTAGTTAAAGAGAGTTTATCTGAAATAAGGTGCCGTTTGAAAGCAGAATGCATTTCTTTTCTATACCCGCAGCAGCTGGATAAAATGACCCATTCATCAGCAGAGAGCGCAGTCAACATGGAGGAGTTCTTCAAAACGGTAAAACTCGCTGACAACAGGTCCAATATGGTTCTCATAGGTTGTACRACCTGCTCAACACTTTGGCCAGGTGCTCCTGCTTAAAGATCACTATTAAAAGCAAATGATTGGATATTTTGTGTAAAAACAAAACAATAACATCAAATAGTGTAATTAAATAAATTAGCCTTTTTTTTCTTATGTTGCCATTCTTACAAAATTTCACAAAACAAACATGATTTTCAGTAACACAATGTAACAATGATAGTAATGAACAATGGCAGTAACAATGATACAAATCTAGTCTCATTTAGCTTAAAATCTATATTTTTTCACAACATAGCATGGACGTGAGAGCAGCTTTTCTGCAGGTTGTACGTCTCYTTCATGTCCGTGTGTGTGTTTGTGCAGGTGGGCGAGGTGAGGAGCCTCATAGAGCAGATCTCCAGTCGAACAGAGGAAGTGGAGAAGAGGCATGGCGCCATCCTCTCGTCTTCCAACCAAGACAAGGGTAAGATCTGTTTGAAGGTTGGATCGTCTGAGAACTGGATTTCCTCGCTAAACGTTTGAAACATGTCGGCTCTTTAAGGATGCACAAAACAAACAGAGCAACAAAAACAGGACATAAATCTTGACAGCCCTTGACAAATAAGTGTTATTGTGTATAGGTTTGTTTTTAGGGTGTGATGTTTACATTGTGTTATTGAAAAAGTTTGTTATTTTTTTTAATCTGGGCTGAGCTTAATCTGTATTGTAATCATACAGCAACACAATTCTTTTAAGCCTGTCACGTTAAACCTTTAGTTTCTTAACTACTCAAGTAAACTTTCAGTAGAAAACAGAATTTAATATTAGTTTCATCCTCAGTAAAGTAAACTTGAGCATTTACTTTCAGAAAACAAAGACAAGCTGGAGCTGCTGAACAGCGAGACCAGAAAAAATGCCAACGTGGTCAGAGCCAAGTTAAAAAGTAGGTGGAACAAACTCTTTTTTTAATTAATGTATTTATTTAAAATTGATTTGACAAGATGAAGCCTGAACAGTTTGCTTTCAATGCCTGTTGCTTTTATTATATCTGCTCTTGTTCATGGGTTTACACAGAGACTTCCTCTATTACTGCTTGTGCAGTCAGGAGCTTAGAAAACATGATTTGATTTGCAAATGAGGAACTACGAAATGCTGCTTTTAAAAAAAACAAATCTCCAAATATTTAGCCTCAAATTATGACTAATCTAGAAAAAAGACGTAACTTTCAGCATATGTTTTTAGAGTTATTGATATTTTGTTTACGTTTATTTTCAGCAATGCAGACAAACTTTCCAGCAGATGAGAACAGCGGTGTCTCAGTGATCCATCGTATTCAGAGGAATCAGGTCTGTAACGGATGTTTGGATCCTCATGAATCATTTATTATCTGATCAATTTACTCTCATGGCTTCACACACATGGGGTGACTTGTTTGTGTCGTTTAGGCTCAAAAAAGACGAAAGCATTCACACCAGCTGCATGTCATGTAACTAATCTGTGCTGCTGCCTCATGTCCTGCAGAGCAAGGGTTCTTAAGCACTGGGCCAATGCTGGTACCGGTCCATGGGCCATTTGATACTGGGCCACATAAATAATAAAAGTGGTGTGCACGAAAGGCCGGGGACCGCTGCTCTAGAGTTTTGTTGGCTTGAACTCAGCCTKATCATTAAATATATGTACTAAATTAGATTCTTTAATGAGTGAGGTGGTTGTCATGCAGATAGATAAATAAATAAATAAAAAGATGATGAACAACTCTACGCTTGTTGTGACCATAATCGCAGTTATTGCTGCAGAAAGCAACAGACAGTAGTTTCTGCAGCAGATCCACCACCGAAAGAAATCCTGCAGTTTTTTTTAAATATTCCATGAACAAGCAGCAGTTCAGAAACGTCCGTGCACCACACTCAGTGTTGCTGTGAAGCTGTAGAGCTGTGCTGCCTCTATTTGACTGTTTTTAATGGCTCGATTATTTTCATCCTCGGCTCAATAATCTGATTTTAAACTTCTGCGGCCTCCCTCCAACCAGCACTCACACCTGACTCGCTGGTTTGCTGACGTRATGAGGGATCACCACAGGGCTCAGGGCTCCTTCCGGGAAAAATGCAAAGCAAAAATCCAGAGACAGCTGGAGATCGGTGAGCAGCTGGAAACGGTTTTAAACAAATCTTAAGTGGTGTGAGAATGAACGTTTATGTCTAATAGCAACGTAACAAATTGCTACTTTGTGATTTAAATCATTGTTTATTTCTTGATATTTGCATTACAGAGTTTATAGTCTTTTAAATCCAGTCTGATGAGTTGCTTTCTTACACAGGCTTCTAACTCAGATTTATAAATATTTTGTTTCATATTGCCTAGCCATAGCTCTGCATTAGTGTGTGTGTGTGTGTGTGTGTGTGTATAAAGTAATTTGAAATGTGTTTTTTCTACTCTTACATTTCAAAGCTTCTTTATATATATATATATAAGATTGGAATCTGATAAATCACTATCACACACATTTGCTGTGATTGAAATCCCAAACTTCAGAATAAATTAAACTCAACATATCAGTGTTTTTAAAGATTTCCTGTCTGTTTTATTATGTTTATGATTTTTTTTTTGTGTAATGTGTACACATAGAATGGTTTATACTGTATATTGTACACTCCTTGCTGTGGGTTGAAGTCATGCTGATGAGGCTGCAGTTCAGCTGTAGTCACTGTGATGAAGAGCCAGTATTTCACGTTTATTTGAAATGTTCAACATTAAGCTTGTAAGTTACCATAAAACGCCATCTGTCAGTAATATGGCTTTGTCATATCACTGTATTTTATTCATTGTCGTGTTTAAATATCCTTCATTGCAATTCTTTAAAGATGTTAAACTTGTTTGTTTCTCAGTGGATAAAGTGACAACAGATGAAGAGTTGGAGGAGATGCTGCTAAGAGACAACCTTGCCATCTTCATATCAGATGTTAGTAAACTTCCTGCTTTGCACCTAAAACAGATACTCTACAATAATAATTTTAGTACCAAATTATGTTTGAAATGTAAAATGCTGTTTTTTTTATTGCATTTATCTACAGATGAACTCAGACGCCCATGTTACAAGTCAAGCTCTGACTGAGATTGAAAGTCGTCATCAGGACATCATCAGCCTCGAATCCAGCATCAAAGAGATGCACGAGATATTTGCAGACACGGCTGTTCTGTTGGAAATTCAGGTAAAAATATCGTGSAACAGCTTTATGAATATAAATGTTAAAAACTCTTGACTTTCAYTCCAACTCATGGCAGTTCTGTTTTCCTTCCACCAGGGGGAGTTGATCAACAACATAGAGAAGAACGTCACCAGCGCTGCGGAGTATGTCGTCAAATCAAAAGAAGAAACCAATAAAGCTGTTTCCTTCAAGAAAAACCCTCACAAGATAGTGTCTCTTCCAAACTTTTTCAAGCCCTTCAGGAAACAATCCAGTCCTAAAATGACAAATACTGAAACTCCACCTAAAATAAAATCATAACTGATCCAATGGATCCTGGAAGAACACTGACAGAACCAAATGTTCCCGATTCATTTCAAAGCCTGTGCTGTTTGGGTAACATTTCCAATTTATGTCACCTGCCACCTTATTTTAGAAGGTCAATGATATATCTGTTGTTTTACCTTAAGTGCCTGTGGCATCAAATGCTTATAATAAATATGAATGCATTTCCGTAAAGATAACATTGATAAAGTTGCAAAAAAAAATCCACACTGCTGACATGAACAGCTGTTGAGATGTGAATTAACAGGAAGTGATGTCAAAGGAGAATGTCTYCACGTGAACAGAGCMTTGCTACAATGACTGACACAACGTGCAGAGAAGTATCTGATGTTTCTTTAAATAATTTWGAGTCACTAACAGATAAATGAAGAAGAGTCAGAGTTCAAGTAATGTTTCAATAAACAAAGTCCAGAGAGTTTTTGCTAGACATTTCCCTTTGAGGTCACTTCCTGTTTCCCTTTGGCTGAACCACGTTTATAAGAAAATGTGCAAAAGAAAAAAAGGCTAAATTGTGTGTTTTACCAAGTTTCTTAAATATAAATTTGTTTTCTTTGACATTTTGCATTTGAAGGATGTGCATGACACTTTAAACAGAAAATGTGACTTTAGGGAGAATGAGCTGCCAGTTTAAACTAAAATGATGCAGAGGAGCATTGCAGTATGACTAACAGGAAATACTGTCACACCTACTGTTTTTACTCAAAAGGTTTTGGATTTCTACACAGCAAAGCTGGTCATTTGTCAGCAATATACTTTGAACAGCAGTTTCTGGTCCTAAACTGTTAATTTTCACTGTTAACCAGCAGATGGCACTGTGGCATTATGAGTGAGCTGTCACAGTTGTATCTTGACTGATTTTTTTTTCTGCAATTTTGTAATCTTATACAGTTTCTGTTTAACCATTATAATATTTTATTACATGCTGTTGAACTAAACAGACTTGTCTAACCATGTAAATGTCAAAATAAACTTTTTGTAAATGTTCCAGTTTGTTATAAAAAACTGAGTTGAAGCTTGTTTTTTTATTCTGGGTGGTGTCACACAAATAATTTAACTCCAGCTTTTGTTTGATGTGCTATTTTAATTTCTCCAAGCTATTTAGTTCAGCAGGATCTCAAGGACTTAAATGCATATGAACATAAATCAAATGTGAATATCTATCAAACGGAGTGATAATTATACTTTTGCTAATGACAGGACATCTTATGGGGGTAGGGGGTCATGCAAAATTGACTTTTGAGCTTTACACCGTGTAATGTCCTTACACAGACAGGGCTTTGACTCATTCATGCATGTTTGAGAAATCCTGTCTGGAGATGCCTGAACACTTGCTGATACAAAGCTCCGCCTGTTTACTCAAAGATCCTCCCTGGAGCTCAGTCCCAAACCGAGCTCTCGCCCCACAGGGCACCCCTCCCCCGAAGCATTGTTGTGAATATGTGCTGAAGTGGGAGCGTCAGAAACGGTAGGAGGTCCTTGAAGAGACAGAGGCCAATTTCAAGTCGTTTAGATAGACTGTGGTGCAAAGCCAAATTTGTTTTTGATATATACAGCAGGTAACATACTTGATTGTGGTTTAGAATTGAATTGTGTTCCTGGAAAATACACAACCCCCACCCCACCCCCACCCCTTAAATGGGGTTGACAACAAATGTTTATCATTTATTAATTATTTTAGTTTATTTTTCCATATTTTGTCACTTGTCTAATTTTACCAGAACATAGATTGGGTGTTACTTTTGTCTGCTATCTAGTTGTTTAACATCATTCTGCTGTTTTTTGCCATGGTCTGATCACAGTGGAGGGACAAGCAGACGGTTTCCTGCATCAGGGGAGCGCTGCCAGGATGAACCCATTGACTTTCCTCTCAGACTGCATCTCTCTCTCTCCTTTCATCCACCTCCTCCTCTCCGCCTTGCCAAGATTAGATTTCACAGCACCTTTGCACTTTGCTGAAACCACTGATTTCCAAATGAGCACTGAAGTAGAGTGGGGTGTATGAAATAAAGATGACTCTGTGTTTTTTTGTTTTTTTTTTGAAGAAAGAATAACGAGGCAAGAGGTGTGAGTGGACAAGGAGAAAAAATGAACCAGGCACAGGTCTATGTAAAAACATGACGACTTTATTGGTTGTGCCAGAGCGGCGAGAGCCCTACAAAGTAGATCCTGACCACAATTTAAAAGGGCTGAGTGGTGTGTGACTGTGTAAAATGCAGGGCCTGGCTCTTCTCCCAAAGAACCATTAACCATTTTCCCCATTTGGAATGAAATATGAGGATGGACAATTAGAGGAAAAGTGAGAAGAATAACAATTGAGAAGTCTCTGCCTATTTGTGGAGCCTCCGAGGCAGGTGGATTTACTTCTTGACTTTGCCCTGGGCAGCCACGGCCTCCATGGCCTTCTTTACTGTCTCCTCATCACCGAGGAAAGACATGGGCTTGACCGGCTTCAGGTCTGCGTCCAGCTCATACACGATTGGAATTCCTGTGGGAAGGTTCAGCTCCATGATGGCTGCGTCAGACATACCTGGACGAGACAAACAGGAGAGCAGTGAATCAAACTGGTTGAGACCGGCCACATTGGCATAAAAACAATGGTTAAAACAAATTACCCAAAGTAGTACTACTTAATAATTAAATTCTAAGTTGAGACATAATTTTACATTTGTCCTTCAAGTCCTTTCGTGTGTTTTCAGGGTTTCATCTAAGTGGCACAAGCACAAACCAATCAAATATTGTTGGTGTTTATATTGTTTATCACTCTCATAGGGTAGTAATAAGTAACATTTACTCAATTACATTTTTCTTGAGTAACTTTTGGGAAAAATACTTTTAAGAGAAGTTTTACTACACCATGCTTTTTACTTTGCTTGAGTAATATTATGAAGTATTGCTATTCTTACCTTATTTGAGTAAAGTTTCTGAATACTTCTGTAAATAACTTGACTGAATAAAGAGCAAACGTTTTAACCAGAAATGCTGCAGAGAGACTCACCTGCAGTTTAATGCTGAAGCTTTGTTGTTCTGATGCTACTTTCTATCTGCTGAGTCACTTAGAGGTTGCGTGCATGTATGGTGAACAGTGGATTAGTAGATACATTAAAACTACTTTCAATTTATTGGTCAAGGGACGATGCACAGGAAACAAAACATACGTGCCAGAGTTAGCTAAAATAAGCTAATTTTTGATGGTACTCCCTTTGGCAGTTGTTGAGGCCAGCACTTAGTGTATATACAATTTTGACTTAGGAATAATGATTCTTCGGCTGGGATTTATTATTTAATTATATTTATTTGTATTAGTTGTCTTTGTTTTAGTCTTTAAAAACTCCAGAATTTGCGTATATAGTTTTCTATTTTTGTCAGTCTGATGACATCAAATATTATAAGTTACTCAGTAGTCAAGTAGTCTTTTTACAAAATACATTTTTTTACTCTAGTAATTTTCTGGATGGCTAATTTTTACTTTTAGTTGTGTAAAAATACGTTGAAGTAGTGTTACTCTTACTTGAGTACAACTTTTGCGTACTCTACCCGCCTCTGATTACACTGAATTGACTGTTTTTTGTTAGTTTGCGCAAGGTCAAAGTAGATTTTTGTCACCTTAAAACTGTTTCTCAAAAATTTGACAGTTTCTTACAAGCACTACCTTTACACTTCATGGTTATCTACAAATGCAGCAGCAGCTAGCTGTACGTCTTTTGACACAAATGTTCTACTAATGTGAATTTGATGGTGACTAAATTAGCATTTTCATACTTACATTTATTTGACACTAGTGTTTTTGTTTGTTTTTTGTTTAAGATGGCAATCTGCTCCTGACTTGGCCCTGCTCCGACTTGCCGTAGTCAGAATTAAACTCTACATCTTCACCTGAGTTCATTCAAAGGGCTATCCACAACAAGTAAGATATTAACTGTTCAACACAACCTGACACCCCTCCTGCTTCCTTTGCCTGACCTTTAATACTGCTCAGTGAGTGTAAAATCCTGTGTTCATATCTGACCGCTCCTTGAATAAGTACAACCTTTCTACAGAAAGGTCGTGACTGTAACAGGAACCAAACTCACAACCCTCTGCTCTGAGCTGTGGTGCACGAGGTTATTTATATGGAGTGGAATTCAAAGCTGACTCTGATTATTCACATCTTTCCTTGAATGCAAATCTAGCATGCATTTTTGAAGTGTTAGGTAGTTATCAGCAGTGCCTTATCAGCCAATTATGGAGCATATAGGAATTGGCAGAGGCCATTTGGGACTCCATTTTTGTAGCTTTTTAGGACAATTCTTTCTCAAAATGACACACAAGTGCAAAAATAATAATGCATTAAATAATTCTAAACATCTATATTTTGTACAACATTTTTTGTATAGTTTGTCACTGTTTTTTTTTTCAACCAAACAATGTTTGATTACTGGAAAATATGTGTGCCAGTGGTGCTGATGCTGATTAATGCATCATGGTTCAATAAGAAAACAGTGAAAAACTAATGAGTCCACATTAACTGGTTGAGGATTCCTGCTCATTTGTATACTCCGTGATTTCTATGAAGCACTAATTATTGATAACTAGCTGARAGAGCATCATTTTTTAGAAATAACCAGTCATTATCAGCTTTTTTAAAGCTTTGTTGAACTGCTGAGTGTAAAGCTCACCCTCCAAGTGCTTGACGATGCCACGGAGGCTGTTTCCGTGGGCTGCAATGATAACATTCTTGCCCGCTTTGATTTCAGGAGCGATGACATCATTCCAGAAAGGCAGGGCGCGTGCGATGGTGTCCTTCAGGGACTCACAGGTGGGCAGCTCACCGGGCTTCAGGCCTTTGTAACGTCGCGACTGGAGGTCGAACCAAACATATTAGTTCAGGATATATCAGTCGCGTGTCACTTACTGTAAACTGACCAACAACTTAGTGAGTGTTGGTTGTCTCACCTCACTGATGATTTTGTGGTAAGGGTGGTCCTTGTCCATGGGTGGGGGTGGGATGTCGAAGGAGCGGCGCCAGATCTTCACCTGCTCCTCGCCGTGCTTCTCGGCCGTCTCGGCCTTGTRGAGGCCGGTGAGGCCTCCGTAGTGACGCTCGTTCAGACGCCAGGTGCGGATCACGGGCAGCCACATCTGGTCCGTGCCCTCCATGATGGTCCACAGGGTCCTGATGGCCCGTTTGAGCACGGAGGTGTAGCACACGTCGAACTTCATGCCTGCCTCTTTGATGGCCTGGGCCCCGCGCTTGGCCTCCTCCAAGCCCTTCTCGCTGAGGTCGGCGTCGAACCAGCCACAGAAGCGGTTCTCCTGGTTCCAGGAGCTCTCTCCGTGGCGGACGATGACTAAGCGATGAACTCCGGCCATTTCTCACAAGTTTCTCCTAAAGTTGAACTTAAAGCAGACACAGAGCCCTCAGCCCCTCTAAGCTGCTCACACTGACTGACCAACAGTGAGCCTCGCAGCATACCACACTCTTTTTATAGCAGCTGAGAGAGCAGACAGGCCTTTTTATTTTCCACCTGTGAGAGGCTCTCAATGTCTGATGGACACACCAGACACTCCAATAGAARCAGACCCAGGCTGGGCTCGTGGGGCAGGCTGGGAAGGCCAGAGGTCACGGTTAACCCAAAATAGCAACATGACTTTTAAACTGAGTTCTTTGGAACAAAAGTGTAAAGAGCAGAGCTTGAAGCTTCACACTGAGGTGAATACCTTCAAAACTGAGAAAGAAACTGGCTCCAAAGCAAACTTTTCATATGTGTCTCGAATATGTTTAGACAAATTTGTTGTTTCTGTATGAAAGCAGAGGATCTTTTGTGTCAGTTGGTTGCCTAACAATGCATTTATAGAAATATCAGTCTCAGCAAAAACTACAGAAAAATACAATTGACTCAGTCTCAATCTCAGTTGCTGCTACTTTTAGTTGTTTCCCTTATAAATCAAACAGAGCACAGATGCAAAGACAAATTATTGTCAGTAAGAAAAGGAAAACTTACTAAAGTTGCCAAATATCTAGACGTCCCCTCTGCAGGACAATAAGCTATTTCTATTCTTCTATTCTAACATGAAACCATTATACAGTCAGTATTAACTAGAGAATTAGCATTTCCTGCAAAAAAGCAGAGAGAATGCTTATTGTTGAAAGATTTTCACTGAAAGCTGGTAATATCAAGTTAAATACAAACAGCTAAATATGGAAAAAAAATCTAAAAGTAGCAGAAACAAGTTGAAATTAGCAGACTAACAGTGAAAAAAAGAGAAAAATAAACAGAAAAAAAGGAGTACAAAAAGTTATGTTGAAAAAAAATGCTAAAACAGCTTAAAGGGGTTTTTTAATAGCTGAAAAAGCAAAAACTAGCACAAAGAAGCAGAAAGAGCATGTTTGCTTAATGAAGAAGTGAGAAGCTGAAATGATCACAAAAAGGTGAATTTAGCATCTAGAAATATAAACTTAGCTGAAAATAACTAAGAAATAGTGCAAAAAGCAGCTGAAAGAAGCACACAAAATAATAAAATGGCTAAAAGAAAAAGACCCAAAACTGTTGAAATTAGCAGAATAATAGCTGCAGGAGCTGAAAAAGCAGAAAAAAAAATCAAATTAGCTCAAAGATAAGCTAAAGAAAGCTGAAATTACAACTTTTGTTTAAACGGAACCAGAACAATAYGTACAAATTACAGTAAGGATTTACAAACATTTTGAAGTGTTTTAAGGAATGAGCTCTTTTCATTTTTATAGAGAAATAAAAATGGCAGAAAGATTCATGAATTGTATTATTTGCTGAAATACTGAAATTTATTGCATAAATTGTTGAAACAACACAAAAATTGTGGAATGAGTTAGATACCAAAAAACGTACAGAAGCTAAATCTATAATTTCATTAGAAATATTTAAAAAGCAGGATAGTTTTAAYGTGTTATTACAGACCACCACCTCTAGAAGGCACTCTTGTATTACACAGAAAAGTTGTGATTTTAAACTCTGCAGTCACTGTTTTCTACTGTTTTATAAAGACTCATTAAACCATTTTTAATGTAAAAAATACACTAAAACACCAAACTGGTGCAAACTGATGATGCTGGCATCTTTTCTTCCTATTGTTAGGCTAGCTGTTGCATTAGTAAGCTGTTTCTTTTCACATTAAAAATATGCTGAAGTCCACAGCCACTGTTAGTGAAACGAAGGTTGGAAAATGAGCCCCAAAAGCTGAAAGGTCAGATAAAGTCTCTTGTCCCCTATGATTAAATTATGATCCAGAAAAAACTGATCCACAATTTGTCCAAAAATAGATCTAATGGAATTCTAGGAATGATGCCAATGGTTTATCATGACCTCGACTTTGGTTTGTACTGGTGTGAGAGGAGAAATATTTAGGAARGATTCTGCAGACAAGAACATCTACTTTTATTAGTCTTTCTACGTATTTATTTTTCATACTCAAACGGTGGTTGGTGTGATTGTGTAATGTGTAATTTATAAATGCAGAGGTAAAACATGCACTTTCCTGAAATTATTCAACTCCATACTGGGTTTGAATGAAGGACCTTTTTTTTTCTTGCTGTGAGACWTCGCTGCTAACCACTAAARCATCATGCTGCCAATTCCACAGAAGATTGTGTATAATGTTTTACGAGGTTTGACCACCACATCTATAATTTTGTTGTCACTCAACACGAGCTAATCTGTTTAAAACTCTGGCATGACAAGCAGCAGGCAGTACCCGTTCCATCAAAGAATGGCTGTAATACAAAAATAAAATGCTTAGCTGTCCTTATCAAGAGTGTGATACTGTAATTAGTGTGTTGATGATGCTGGATCTTCATCACATAACTTCACAGACAGAGACAGGAACCACCCTGGCGTTAACACTGATTTAATTTGTTTTGAAAGACATCTTAATGATCTGCTTTCTCTCTTTCGTCGCCTCAGGTTCTGCAAAGCATCTCGTCTGCCACAAATTGCCCCGGTGCAGATTGTCAGACTGCTGTRAGAGCGAGAAAAAATGTACACAGGGGAGTTTCTGTGATGTGCTCCTGATGACTCAGCGTGCAGCAGAGTCCATACAGCTCCCACTGAGGTTCCCCGCCTCCATCTAAAAGTGCTTTTCAAGTATTTGCTACAAATAGAAAAAAACAAAAAAAAAAACAAACAGGCGACACATGCTATAAACTAACTGCATTACTGCGTGGGACTGGAAAAGCAAAATGCATTCTTAGCATAAATGTTGCAGCGCCACTGCAGACATGCACAGACTCACTAACTCACCAGTCACACGAGAAAAGAAAGTGCACATCAGAAGCTATAGGTGTAACTGAACCCCAGGCAAATTTGTGCTGCAGATGAGCACGACWGTTCATCTATGAAACTCAAGACAACAGCAAGAAGGAAAACAAGAATATAAAAACAGATATTGTATAATACAGAAAAATTTACCCTTTTCAAACCTAAATAGACTGAACACTATTAGTTCATCCCCTACAACAATAAAGGTGCATGTTAGTGTTTTCTATTTATTTATTTATTTATTTATTTATTTATTTATTTATTTATTTATTTATTTATGTATTTAGTTAGTTAGTTAGTTAGTTATTTTTATTTTTATTTTTATTTTGTCCTCTATAGATGTGGGCAGTTTGCCTGTTTGACTGTTAGCAACATATCTCCTGAACCACTGCACAAATGGCATTGAAACCTGCAGAAAGTAAATCACTAGATGGACATCTACAACTGATTAATTGTTTAAGTCAATCTATCAGTCAGTTCTGCTAATACTGACCTAGGTTTTGGTGTGGTAGTAGCTGAGACTGATTCCTAACAAGATTTCTGAACACTAACAGATTCCACATGATATATTTTTTAAACTTTGCAATTACTTGTGTGACGTCAACACTGTCTGTCTGTTAGCAAAATTTCTCYTGAACCACTGCACAAATGGCAATGAAACTTGCAGAAAGTAATCACTAGATGGACATCTACAACTGATTATTTGTTTAAGTAAATCCAATTCACGATGGTTGTCACAGCAGACCTACCTTTAAAATATCAAAACTGGTTATTTTTCAGTCAATTAGGCTCATACTGACTTAAGTRTTGGTGTGGTAGTAGCAGAAACTGATCCCTAACACCATTTCTAAAAACACACAGATTGCACAAGACATTAAAGAAAATCTTGCAATTTACTTTTGTCAAGTCAACACTGTCTGTCTGTTAGCAAAATATATCTTGAACCACACAATGGYTTTTAATAAAATTTCCAGGAAATAATCATGCAATGTACTTTTACATCTGATTTACTTTTASAGCCAACCCAATTTAAGATGGCCACCACAGCTAACTGAATTTAGAAAGCCCAAAACTGGCTCTAATTCAGTCAGTTTTACAGAGATTGTGCTAAAAATTTAGTGGGATTGTTCCATAGTCATCCAGAACTCATACTCTCACCACTGACACATCATYCCGCATGAGATTGCTTATTGTTATGTTTCTATGCATTTTTTATTCAATAAAGTTTGTTGAAAGTTCGACCAATTATAATTAATGTAGTGAAAAATCTTTGCAGCGTCTCCTTGTTTTAATGTTCCTCCAACATGTCCTCACTCACCTGCTGTTTGGGTCCAGTTTTTATCATTGCAAGTGTTTTAAGGTCATGGTTGCAGTTCCAGCGTTTCACCAGCAGGAGACATGCTGCGTCACCTCAGCCAGCACACCTCGCCTCGATTATCCTGCAGTAAGAATGCTTTCTATGATTTTTGCCTTTTATGAAATTTGAAATGAACTCTAAAGCTTTTTTGCAGTAATGCTTTTAAAATATACAGTTTTTAGTTGTGCACAAAACTAGTAAATAGGTTTGTGTGAATTATAAATAGCTTGTAGTGTTTTTTTTCTTTCTCTTTCATTAGTCTGTTTGTACCCCTGACTCTTCCCACCTAAACTGATTCCCTCTCACTTGGTGCCGTTGCAGTGTCAMAGAGAGACTGCATTGTCAGAGTTTGGAGGAAGGGCTTGCGTCAGACTCCTGCCGGCTATAAAAGCACAGCCTGCTGCTGCAGAGAGCAGTACGGGCTTAAACCTGAGCCCTTGGTACATCTCCACACACACACACAGGGAGAAGGGTAACAACCAATCTCCAACCATGAGCAGCCTTGGATATGACCCCTACTTCACCTCRTCGTTGTACAAGCGCTGGTATGCTGAGCCATCCCCTCGTGTTGTGGGGACCACCAGAGGGAGAACCCACTCCACCTACTCCTCCCATGTCTCCCCGATGTCCTCCTCCCGTCTGCAGTACTCCTCTCCCGGACGGGTGCTGTTCTCCTCCTCGGCGCCGGCCACGTCCCTGGAACTGGAGCTCAGCCAGGCGGCCCAGATCAGCTCCGAGTTCCGGACGGTGCGCACACAGGAGCGCAGCCAGCTGCAGGACCTCAACGACCGCTTTGCCGGCTTCATCGAYAGGGTACGGGAGCTGGAGCAGCAGAACCGGGCCCTGGAGGCCGAGCTGCTGCTGCTGAGGCAGAGGCACTCGGAGCCGTCCCGCCTCAGAGGTCTGTACGAGCAAGAAGCCCGGTCCCTGAGGGCAGCTATCGATGAGGCCAGGGTGGAACAGCAGGCTGTCCTGGGACAGCGAGAGCGACTGGAGCAAACCCTGACCTCTCTGCAGGGTAGATATGAGGAGGAAATGCTGGCCCGAGAGGAGGCCGAGGGCAGGCTGATGGAGGRCCGTCGTGAAGCAGACGAGGCCGCRTTGGGAAAAGCCGAGCTGGAGAAAAGTGTCGAAACTCTGCTGGAGGAGCTGGCCTTCCTCAAGAAGATCCACGAAGGCGAGGTGGCTGAACTCCAGGCTCAAGTCCAGTTGGGCGTTCAGGTGGCCGTGGAGTCTGAGGCCGCGGCGCCGGACCTCTCTGGGGCTTTGAGGGAGATCCGGTCCCAGTACGAAAGGCTGGCAGCCAGGAACATGCAGACAGCTGAAGAGTGGTTCCGGAGTAAGGTGGGCACGCTAACAGAAACGGTGGCCCACCACACCAGCGCCGTGAAAAGCTCCAAAGACGAGGCGGGCGAGTACCGACGCCAGCTMCAGGCCCGCCTGCTGGAGATCGACGCCTGCAGAGGCATCAACGACTCCCTGGAGAAACAGCTGCACGACGTAGAGGAGAAGCAGAGCGCAGAGATAGCCGCCATGCACGTAAGTCCACACACACACACTGCAAGACTGATTGTGTTTTCAGGATGCTCACTTCGCTTTGTTTTCAGGACACTATTGCAGAGTTGGAGGGTGAGCTGAGGGGCACCAAACAGGAAATGACACGKTACCTGAAGGAGTACCAGGACCTTCTGAATGTCAAGATGGCTCTGGATATCGAGATCGCTGCATACAGGTGAAAGACTTCAAGAGTTTGGATTTTCCAGCAAAAKRGCAGCTCAGGGCTAAAATGAACAAAGCTGTTGAGTCCGGTGGGCCCGGTACAGCCCCCTTAAGCAAACTGAAGGAGATAGTTCTTCTAAAACCCWGTGYGCTTAAAGGGTTAAAGCTAAGTGTAGCATACACAGCTAAAAGCTAATAGTAAAGTGAACCCAGAAGCTATAATTAGCAAGAACTAAAAGCTAAGAGTTTAATGCTAAATTAGCATTCACACASTTACAGAGGAAGCTAAGCTTTAATAAGCATTTTACACAAATACAACTATTATATTGGTTAAACTGGAGCTAATTCTCCACTTTAGCCTTGACTTTGCTTGGATTAGCTATTAGCTTACGAATTGATCATCTCCAAAGCTGAGCTATTTGAAGAAATATCTCCAACAGGCAAGATAATCCTATCCTCCTTTAATCCCACTATAATAAATCTGAATAACTGCTTTTAAATACTTAGAATAAATACAGATTTTGTGGGTTTTATTGATTTGGTTTGGGTAAATAAAAAGCTTTAATGTTAGCCATTTTTTGTTTAACTCCTTAAATAGTTTGGTTWTAATTTCTTAAGCCTGGGTATTAATGAATATGTTTTAAATGTATTAAAACTAGCTTTCATCATCTCATAAGTTGTGATTTGGTCAATTTCACCAGGAAACTTCTGGAGGGGGAGGAGACTCGCTTCAGTGTGGGCGTGTCCGGAGTCGTGTCCTCCATGTATGCTCCCAGCATGGCCATGCCCACCTTCTCCGTCCTCTCCAGCCTGAGCTCCGGGACCTCCTACCTGGTGACCTCCCGCCTGCTCAGCTCCAGCGTCAGCACCACAGAGGGCATCATCTCTGCCAGCCACGCCCAGCAAGCAGAGGCCAGCCCGCCTGCTGAAGAGGAGGAGGAGGAAGAAGAGGGAGGAGAGGAAACAGAGGAGAAACAGGAGGAGGAAGAGGGAGGAGAGGAGGAGGGAGGTGAAGAAAAAGAAGATGTGGAGGAAGCACAAGAGGAGGCTAAAGAGGAAGACGAGGGTTAGTGCATCCTTTGTTTTACAAAACTATTTAAACAAATTGCAATGACGAKTGGTGATGAAGTGTATTTTAACTGTGCAGGTGGCGATGAAGAGGAGCAAAAAGAGGAGGCTGAGGAGGCTGCTGAAGGTAAAGGTGAGAAGGAAACAAAAGATGATGAAGAAGAAGAAACTGAGGCTACAGGAGAAGCAGAAGAGGAGGGAAAAACAGAGGGAGCTGWGGACAAGGAAGAGCCTAAAGATAGGGAAAAGGAGGAGAAAGAAGAGTCTACAAAGAGTGAGGAGAAACAGGAGTCAAAAAAGAGTGAGGAGAAAGAGGAGAAATCTGACCCCAAGAAGGAAGACAAAGCTGACAAGGCCAAAGAACCTGCTCCGAAAAAAGACGACCCCAAAGAGAAAACAACCAAGCCTGAGCCCGCTGAAGAAAAGAGCACAAAGGAGAAAAAGTAACCAAAACAACAGTGGGTTGTGACCGTGCAAGTCGTATCCAGAGAACCCGACCAGCTGGGCAACACGGTGCTCAGCAGATCAATCCAACAGCAACAAATCAACGTTAACTGCTTGCCAATACGAAGAATCTTCCATAACAACCTGATCGCACAAATGCCAGTTACTGTAGCACATGTAGCTGCTGAATGCTAAAGTGAGTGTTTGAGTTTTTGGTGGTGAAATAAAATATTCTTAAAGCCATGATTCTGTGTGTGTTCTGATTCAAAAATAACTGAAGCAAAACAGGATTTGCTTTAGAGTTTCTATCAAGTCATCATCATAAAACATAACTGGATTATGAACTGACATCACACTTGTGGGTATGTTTTATATCATTTAGTGTTGTACCAAACAATTATTTTCTAATCGATTAATCTAACGATTATTTTTTCGATTAATCGATTATTCTAACAACAAATCTATAAGTTATTCTGATGTGAGTGCACTGGAAATTTAAAACGTTTTCATCAAATTAACAAGAACAGTTCTTTAATATTGTAATGTTTTCTGAAATTGTAATATTATTGTAATTGTAATATTTTCATGAAAAACTCACCACTCTTATGCCAATACAGTCGCAATGATGCTGTTAGGCACCGAAATGGAATTGCATGAACATTCACCTGGTGGTTATGTAATACAGTGAACCGTTAATAAAAAAATCTTTGTCGACAAATTTACATAATCAACGTCATCGATTATTTCAACTAATCGGTGCAGCCCTACTTGTGATGTCCACGGCCTACCCCAGTTACCACTACTGTGCATGTGTGTCAAGGACAGAAAGGCAGATGTGGCAGTGGAAGGTGTCAAAGCAGTTTGGAGAGAAAAACAAAGTAAAGAACAAAAAAAAAAGAAAACAATTAATCGATTATTAAATTAGTCATCGATTATTTTAATAATCATTTGTTGTCGATTAATCGATTAATTGGTGCAGCCCTAATATCATTTAATTACTTGTTCCCTCATTTTTTTTGATCTTTGATTTGATGTATTAATTGTTGTCATCCACAAGGGGGTGATGTAACACCCTCAGCACCCCCAAATCTTGTAGTATTAATCACCAAATCTCTGCTACTTCAAGATGAAAACCAAACATTTTAAAAACGTACTTTGTTTTTTTTTTCATTTTGTAATCAAAATCTTAAATTCACAGGAAATAAAATACACCCTTACTCCTTATATGTGCTTTTTTCGGTTTGTGAATGGGTGAATTGTAAAGTGCTTATGAACCAGATAAGGTGCTATTATAAGTTCAAGCCATTTACCATTTGTTGTTTTAATGTGTTTTTTTATTATTATTATTTTTATATTTCTTCATTATATGAAGTTATTATGTTAACTTAGGTTCTGGAGCAGGACCACGCCCAAAAGCCACACCTCCTAATTACCCTACTAGCCTATTAATCTCTGCTCACCCATTCCCCTCAGTCTGTTATGTTTTCGTCAACCCCACCCTCCCTTACCCTCCTTCATCTCATCACCTCTTCTCCTTCTATCCCTTCATCATCATCCCCATCCTCATTTTCTTTCCCTTGATCTCATAAGCATGCTTTTCTTCCTTTTGCAACAGGTTCCAAAATRAAACGAGGACTTCATTTTCCCGAAGACCATACCCCCACGCTGAGTCTTCTCAAGCCCCCCCAGCATTCTCCACAGATGACCGAGCAAACTCCCTTCCTCCTCTCATCCCTTCATCCCTTCAACCCCTCCCTACAATGTCTTTGTGGCATGGTCCATGCTAGTGAAAAGTTATTAATGAATGAAGCTGAAAATTACACTGRCTGATGCTGTGGTGCCGGTTAAAACAGCAACTTAAAACCATATTTTTTTACCATATACTAGTAGATTTATTAAAAGCAATTTACAGGTTTTGATTTTAAACAAATTTATGATTTTTGCAAGAGAAAAAAAGTGTAACAGATAGCTTTCTTGATCAGCAGGTGTTGTTTATTCACTACACTCAGAGAACAGTGTGACGATCAGGAAAGTCACAAAAAAAATCACAATTTTGTCATAAATTTCCCTGTGTGATTTATAGAACTACAGTAAATTTAAACCTATGAGTTACTGTATCTAAACTAAATATTTATGTCAATTAAAGTTGTGCTTTGTTTCAAATGCTTGTTGCTAAAGAACTGTTTCCCTTCTTTTTTASATTACTGCAATGTGTAAAGACTTAATATTAAGCTTCCTTTCTTATGTTGTGATTTCCAGCACTTTGAACATTATGGGGTTTATAATTGGATTACGGCACTGACCAAAGCACACAYACGACTTGTCCATGTTTGAMAGTAATTAACAGATTTTCAGATTAMAACATGGAGATACAATTAGTGGCTCAAAGCCATGCCGCTGGTTAATTATCGTGCTAAGGTTGCAACCTATTTATGCTGACAAAAGTGACCGATTTGAGCCCCAACCCTAATGGTTTGTAATTGCCTTCTGTTTTTTGTATTTGTTTTTTTTTTCTGGACCAGCTTTGTCCTGTWCATGGTCACATGGATGCTGGATCATAGGGCTAACAGAGAAATTGACATCCAAATAAAATCATAACCAATGAACAGGGATATTTCTGGACCATAGGTAAAAAACAGACACTCAGCATCTGTTCAACTAGCTTGTTGCAGCATCAAACACTCCTAATCAAATAAGGGGAATATATTTTGGCAAGCTAATGCAGCACACATAAAACTAAGACATATATTTAGAAACACAGAAATAAGCATGTAAATCTGGTCAAATTTCAAAACCAAGCTACCAATAAAGATGAACAAATTATGCAAAAATAATAAAAGTTTATTTTTAAGTTTTATTTTAAGTTTAGTTTTTGTGTACCACTGGTTGATTTCACAGTTATAATAAATTTACTTTGCACAAAAAGTAAGTACATTTGTGTTTATGCATTATTTCTTTGTTGTAACAATGCATCTTAGCAATAAATCCTTTAATGTTGGCAAGCCTGTTAATTCAAGTTTTAAATGGTGCCACATTTGTAAGGAATATGCATTTTTGGGATGAGCTGTAGAGCAGATCGTATGGGTTGCGCACATGAAAAATTTAGCAAATCTTGCTGCCATTGCCAAACACTTTATTGAGCTGTTTCTACTGACACTTGTTTTGAGCTTCTGGTACCCCCAGGTGCAGCCAATCAGGTGCCCAGTATAAGATTTATTGCCAAGCATTGTTTCAAATGAATAAATAAATCTACCAAACACAAATATCCTTACGTTTTGTGCTAATTTTATCACGTAAAGCTGCTGAGGAACTTCCAGCTGATTACATGCAACTATTAAAACCTAATTAATGACACGATTTTACAGGAACTATGGAATAAGAATAAAAAGACACAAGACAAAAGTTTCTTTACTTTGTTATGATATTTATTGAGCAAAGGCTGCTGGGAAATTGTTCACAATGAGGAACGTCATGGAACTGCAAACAGTAGCACCTCATTTATTTCTGTAATTAAATTCAAGTCCATTCTATGCATACAAGAATGCACGTTTCTATGCATTTACGCTTATATTTGTTTCACTTGCACTCAGGTACAGTAAATATAACAGACACTGATAAAAAGCATGTTTAAGGCTAGGAGTTTCTTTATCGGGTTTGTTAAGCTGGAACTGCTTCAGTTACTGGGTGTTTATGGTTAATGTGTTTATCATGTCATTGCTTATCTCTTTCCTCCCCTTGTGTTTTGCGTTTATTGGCTGTTTCTGTTTTGGCTCAGATGGCAACATCACGTGTCGAGTAAGGCTTCTTCAGTAGAGTGCATGTCTGCGCCGAGGACCCTCCAACTTCCCGTCTGTCTTGAATTCACCCAAAAATCCACTCCAACAATAACGCTTCTCTCACTCTTCCACCTGCAATAAAGTGGGTTGCATTAGTTTTCACTGCCTTGGTATTTTTTTCTATTTTGTTGCCATACAGCTTAGAATTTCAAGGGGTTTCAGTTTGAATCTACGCAAAACACACTAAATTAATTCAATTAAATAGGGGGGATATGAAATTATTCTAAAGTCTTTAAAGCTGAGAACTGGTGCATGCATATGTATTCATCCCCTTCCCTATAGAAAACCACAGCATTAGTCCCACCAGTGTGTCTCTAAGTAGTAAAGGCAACCATCGACAGAGACATAATGAAGACCAAATAACTGTCATTACATGTCAGAGACAAAGTTGTAAAGAAGTAGAGATCAAGGTTTGATAAAAAAAAAATCCCAAACCCTAGACAACATCCAAAAGAGCACCATTAATCCATTATTAGAATGGAAAGATTATGTAACCATAGCAAACCTACCAACGAGGGTCATCCTCCAAAACTCAGACTGGGCAAAAAGAACATAAATCACAAAGGCAGCCAAGAGGCCACATTTAACACAGATGGGGTTCTGTAATAATAAGACTACCGGTCCAGAAGAGTGGAAACTCCCCAAACATGTACAAAAAGGTCAGACGAGACTAAAGCTGAACTTTTTGGCCATTAAGGGTATGTTTGGTAAAGCTGGTCCACAGCATTCCCCACAGTGAAGCACGGCGGTGGCAGCATCATGCTGTGGGGATTTTTATTTTATTTTATCATTATTATTTTAATAGCAGGGGCTGGGAAATTGGTCAGGCTTTAAAAAGATAGACTGCACAAAATATAGACGCGTTATTGAGGGAAACTTGTTTGAGTGTTCCTGAGATTTGAGACTGGGATGGTTTGAACCAAAGAAATCAAGCTACGCTTCACTGGGTGAATATCCTGGAATGGTCCAGTCAAGGCCCAGACTTCAATCTCTGGCATTCCCAATGGGATTACGAACCCCGTTGATTTAATTAAAGGCTGCTTTGRACATTCATTTTAAGGTAATGGAGAAGCCTTTAAAATATTGAGGTAAAGTTCTAGCTAGATGTCACTGTAATTGCTGCAACAAGTGGCTCTACTAAGTAATGACTCTGTGGGAAGGGGGTGAATAGGTATGCACCCTCATGCCTTCTACAATAAGCAACATTTTGCATCTTCAGAGTCATAGTTATGTTCCGCAGATTAAAATATAGAATCCGCCAAAACTCTGTAAGTCAACAAGTAAGACAGAAWGCCAAAAGTGTTGAGTACTTTTGCAACCCACTCTATGTAATCATCCTCATTCCGGTATCCAATYTAGAGAAAAGAGAGGAAACTACTCCCCTCCTCTGAGCTAGCATGCAGAGCCCCCCACCCGCACATCTCCCTTGTCCCCTTAGTCCCACCCCTGAGCTCGTCTTTTAAAAGCAGAAAGAATAAAATAAGAGAATAAAATATCTCAGTCGCTCGCTCCTCGCCCACTTCAGCAGCAAAGCCTGTTTAAAGCTTTCACTCAACATGCAAACCTTAAGTTTTGGCTTCTTTCTATGATTAGTTTTTCTTTTCTTTTTTTTTTTAAAGAGTGGTTGTCATTATTACATCGCTCTAGCTGTATGGTTTTCTTTGTTATGTTAGTTTTGATTGCTTGTCTTGTTTGTCTCCTTCAGTCCTCCCTCTCGTCGCTGCGCCGCTTCCTCCGTGTTTTCCAGCCATCCGGCGTCCGCTCAGTTGCCCTCGGTCACCTGCTTGATGGACTGAGTGGCATGCTTCTCCGTCTTCTTGGTGGCGACCAGCTTCTCCTGCTGCAGCCCCTCCTCCACCTCCTTCACCGTTTCCGTCACAGTGATGGACTTGGTGACGTGCTTGGAGCCGTCCTCGCCCGTGGTGATGGTCTCCACCGTCTTGGTGATGACCACTTTCTGGCTGCCGTCCTCCTTGACGGGGCTCTCATCGACGCCGTTGGCGATCACATCGTCCTTCTTCTCCTTCTCGTCCTCTGGGCTGCTGCTGTCTACGTCGCCGTTCATGGCGACGTCTTTCTTCTCCACCTTCTTCTCTTCTGCTGGGTCGCTCTTCTTCTCTGGTTTGTCTTCTTTTGGAGCCTCGGGTTTGGGGCTTTCAGCTTTGGCGGACTCTGGTTTGGGGGAGCTGGGCTTTGGGGATTCAGCTTTAGGTGAGTCTGCTTTGGGGGACTCAGACTTGGGGGATTCCGCTTTGGGAGACTCTGGTTTAGAAGGTTCGGGCTTGAGGGAAACTGGTTTTGGGGTTTCAGACTTGGGGGACATTGGTTTGGGGGATTCAGACTTAGGAGAGCTGGGCTTTGGTGATTCTGACTTAGGGGAAGTTGGTTTTGGGGATTCAGACGTGGGAGAACTTGGTTTTGGGGATTCTGACTTGGGAGAACTTGGTTTTGGGGATTCAGATTTAGGAGAGCTGGGCTTCAGTGATTCAGACTTAGGAGAGCTGAGCTTTGGTGATTCTGACTTAGGGGAAGTTGCTTTTGGGGATTCAGACGTAGGAGAACTTGGTTTTGGGGATTCAGACTTGGGGGAACTTGGTTTTGGGGATTCGGACTTAGGAGAACTGGGCTTTGGTGATTCAGACTCAGGGGAAGTTGCTTTTGGGGATTCAGATGTAGGAGAACTGGGCTTTGGTGATTCAGACTTGGGGGATTCAGGCTTTGATCCTTCAGTTTTAGGGGTTTCTTCCTTGGTGTCTTCAGGCTTCACAGCTTCAGTTTTTGGAGCTTCTGTTTTTGCGACTACACTTTCATCTGCTTTGTCGTCTTTCCCCTTCTTCTCTTCTTCCACCTTGTCCACCTGATCTTTCTCTTCTTTCTCATCTCCACCCTTGTCTCCCTTGTCACTGCCTGTGTCTTGCTCCTGATCACCACCCTCCTCTTCGGCACCAGCCTCCTCCTCTTCCTCCTCCTCCTCCCCTGCACTGCCCTCCTTGTCCCCGCCCTTCTCTTTGTCAGGAGATGCTTTAGACTCCGGAGCTTTGGAGCACAACACGGTCTCCTCAACTTCCTCCTCTTCCTCCTCCCCTCCTTCTTCATCCTCTTTCTCGCCATCACCCTCATCTGCCTCATCCTCCTTTTCGCCTTCATCGTCGCCCTCCCCTTCTTCTTTCWCTTCTTCCTTCTCTTCTCCCTCTCCTTCCTCTCCCTCGTCGCTGTCTTTCTCATCGCCCTCTGGAGCGCTGGCGCTAACTTTAGCATCGGTGGCGGCTATGACTTCCTCTTCCTCTCCGCCTTCCTCTTCTCCCTCGCCCTCTCCGCCCTCTTCCACRTCTTCCTCCTCCTCCTCTCCTCCTACTCCTGTTGCGGTGGAGAGCTCCTGGGCGAGCTCTTCCAGGGCCTCGTCCATGTCAGCCTTGTCATCCTCCACCCTCGTCTCCTCAATGATTTCCTCCACAAACTTGTGCTGCACTTTCAGCTTGGGAGCCTCTGATTTCGTTTTGGAGATCTTAGTGGTGGAGATGGGCTGGCGGTAAGGAAAAGTGCTGAAGTGGGTCTCCTCGCCCTCTAGGAGTTTCCTGTTGGAACACACAATTAATTAAAAAAGGATTCAAACCATATTTTTAAAATGAAAATCCTGCTGAAATCATGTCGAAAGTTTACCTGTATGCAGCAATCTCAATGTCCAAGGCCATCTTGACATTCAGCAGGTCCTGATACTCACGAAGGTGACGAGCCATCTCCCATTTAGTGCTCTTGAGTTCATTATCCAGCTGGTGAATTGTCTCCTGGGGAAAACAAAGCAAACACAAAACATGAATAATTACAACAGATCTTTAAATTAATTTCAGCACTGGCTCATCGATTCCAAACTCCAAAAGACCAGTTCTCCCCCGTTTGCAGACCATCTACTGCAGTAAAACTCCTCTTGATTTGTGCCCACAGACACTGTTGCTCTAATGTATTCTGACGCAGCTCCGAGAGATGCTGAATGCCTCTTGTTTCAGCCTCAACACCCCCACCCCCACCCCACCCCAAAACCTGAGTGGTGTGATGCAAGGACAGAGCCAATGCAGGCATCGACCCATGCCTCTGAGTCAGCAGGAAAACAGAAAAGAGAGTGTTCACTGCAGGTCCCCCCCCCCCCAACATTTGGAAATCTCCCAAGAAGAAAAAGTCAGAGTCATACTGCAGCTTAAAATAAAGAATTTAAAAAAACTGCCTTAGAACTGATTGTGAAGCGAATAATCAATCTGCGTCACCAAACAAAACATTGTGTCTAACTTTATGGTTTTTGCATAATTTATTATTGTTTTTAATTCTTAAATCATCATTAATACTATGTTTTTAATTTTCAAATTAAAGTTTTAGCCCGATTACTCAGATATACCCTGTGTCTACACGTTTTTACGCACGACTGCTTCTGGAGTGTCCCCCCCACCTGCAGGCTGGCCAGGTCGCTGTTGTGGCGGTCCTCGATGTCGTTCAGCTGCCGCTCCAGGGACTCCCTCATCCCGCGCACGGACTCCAGCTCCACCGTCTTGGACTGCAGCTGGCGGCGGTAGTCGGCGATCTCGTCCCGGGCGGACTTGATGGCGTCCTTGTTCTGCTCCGCGGCCTCGGTGAGCTTGGCGTAGCGGCACACGAACCAGTTCTCCACCTGCTGCAGGTTCTGGTTGGAGTGGCCCTCCAGCTCGCTGCGGATCTCCCGCAGCGCCTCGGTGATGTCCGCCCTCTGCAGGTCCTTCCTCTCCACGGTCACCTGGGACGCCTGGATCTGCGCGATCAGGTCGCTGACCTCCTCCTCGTGGTTGTTGCGGATGAAGGCGATCTCGTCCTGCAGCGACTGAACTTTCTTCTCCAACTCGGACTTGGACAGCTCCGAGTCGCACGCGTCCTTCTTCAGGACGCGGATGATGGCTTCCGTCTCCTCGCGGATCCGCGCCTCCTCCTCGAAGCGGTCCCTGAGCCGCTGGATGTCCTCCTCGATGTGCTCGGTGTCCAGCTGGATCTGCGCCTTGTCGCGGTGGATCTGCTCCAGCACGGCGCGCAGCTCCTTCAGCTCCTGGTCGTAGAGATCGTCCAGCTGGGTGCGCGACACCTGCTTCTGACGCAGCGCCTGGATCTCCGCCTCGATCTGCTTGTTCTGCTGCTCCAGGTAGTGCACCTTGTCGATGTAGACTGCGAAGCGGTCGTTGAGCCCCTGCAGCTGCTCCTTCTCGTTGGATCGCTTGTAGTCTCCGTTCAGGATGGACGTCTGGCTGTAGTCGACGCTGTCGGCGGAGCTGAGCACCGCGGAGCCGTACGCCCGGGACACCGGCGCGTTCACCGTCCTCTTGTAGGATGAGGTCACGGTGGCGCCGGGGCTCGCCCGGGACCAGGACTGGGAGCGGAACCCGCTGGAGGGGGTGCCGGCGGGGCGGCCGTAGCCGTAACTGCTCGTTCTCGTATCCATAACTCTCCTGAAGGGGCTTCCTATCGGGTCCACCGGGTAACTCATCCGGTCAGAGTGCAGGATGAAGAGATGTGGGGAGCGGGACGGTGCTGGAGCTGCAGGCGGTGTGTGTGTGTGTGGATGTGGAGTGGTGTGTGTGGCTCTCACAGCGGCTTAGATCTGCTCTCTGCTCCTTTTATATCGGAGCTTCTGCTGCTAACAGAGCCAGCCCAAGCAGTTTTGTTCCGACTTTCATGGAGGGGAGGGTGAGGCAGACTCCCCCCAGCCACCTCCACCTCCCCCCTGGGCAGTCTGGTGATGGTCCGGTTCAGTCTGAACCGTGTGGCCCAGACAAGCTCCTGGGAGTCTCATGTCACTTAAACAAACAGGATTTAGTCTTTAAAAACATAGATTTTGTATTTACACTGCAAAAAATGTCCACCTAACCAAGTTTTAAAACCTTATATCAGCCAAAAAGTCTTTTTGATCTTGTTTTGAGACTGATTTACTAAACCAGAACAGATTGTGTAAGAATAATAATCTTGTTTTCAGAATGAGTAAGATTATTTGTCTTGTTAGTCTGAAAATTTGACTCAAATTAAGTCAAAACGTTCTGCCAATGGATTAAGAAAATTTTACTTGGTAAGATTCTTGAAATACTTGATTTGACTCAATTTTTTTCTTATTTCAAGAGTATTACCAAGTAAAAATTTCTTACTCCATTGGCAGAAATCTTTGACTTAATTTGAGTCAAATTTTCAGGTGAACAAGAAAAATAATCTTACACATTCTGAAAACAAGATTATTATTKTTACACAATCAGTTCTTGTTCAGTAAAACAGTCTCAAAACAAGATCAAAAAGACTTTTTGGCTGGATTTAAGATGTCAAAACTTGGTAAGATGGACAGTTTTGCAGTGTATTTAAAAATAAACAATGAAGAAATGATCAATTATCATCAAGAGCCACAATTAAGGGGTGACCAATGCCCTTTTTTTACAAAGTAGCTGCCACTTTGCTTTAATTTGGTCAGACAGGCTTATTTGAACACCTGGAGTCATCCTAATGCAATGTGGCTGTCACAACTATAACATCTATAACTCTCTGCTTTACATATATTGATATYAAACATGCTGTGATAGCTGAAACCCACCCAAGCACTTTCTGATCACACACGATCTTTCTTTTAAAAATTGGGCATGCAAAGCGGAGGGCGATGCGCATTCATTCGAGAAGCACTGCTTTTATTTTGAATGTGAATGTAGGGAACAGAGAGGTCACGCTGCAGTGAGCTTTGATTTCGGCCACCTGAAGATTACAGGCAGCTCTGTGCTGAGAGGTAATCGGTGGTCAGTGATTTCAGCACCACAGACAGCTCCAAGGCACTCAGAAAGAGGGGAAATGTTCTTTGTCACAGATTACTGATATGAAAAGTCCAATCCATTACAGCTTTTTGTTTCTGCTGACTGTTGCTAATTTTGTAGGTTATTTGAAGAAAGCTTGGCTTATACAGTAATTTCTGGGAGGTTATATTGTTCCATGTGCAATCAATGTTTCGTGTGTTGTTTAAAGTCAGTCATAGGAACATAATGGATGACAAATGCTAGATCCAAAGATTTCAATATTTGCTCTATATCTACTTGATGGATGACTCAAGTTGAGCTAAACTACCCACTGTGACCTTTTATAACTTCTTCAAACATATTGTTAGTTTTATTGTGGCTTCATTAATACATTATTATTCTCTGTAGTTTGACTTTTCAATGATTATCAGAGACAAACCGGAGCATTTAACTAAAGTTAAACAATGGAGCAAGTTTGCAAAACTAAAATAACTAGTTCAAAACTTTTGTTTCAGCAATCTATTGTTTATCAGGACATAAAAAAATCAATATAAAGATTGTGTATATAATATACAGAGTATGTTACTATATTCTTTTGTTTAAAAAGCTGCAGTAGTTTTGTACTTTCAGCTAAATGTTTATTACTACTAATCTACATATGTTTGACACCCCCTCCTCCCTCATTCCTTTGCAGATCTAATGCATCAAGCTGGGCCAGTTTTAGATTGCCTCAGAGACAGAAAGCCAGACAATGAGAGGAAGACAGCCACACCTTGTGCCTATTTTAAGCTCTTGTAAGTATTGTAAATTACTTTGCCCGCAGTCTCCCAGCTTGTTTCAGRGTCCTTCACCCACTGCTCCATCAAGGCTCAGAAAACAGGCGCAGGGTTTTTGACCCTGTCGGTCTTTTCATATACATTTGGACGGCCTGTGAAGACGGCACCACTTCTGGGCTCCTGTGCAAAGCAGGAGTGTGATCAAAAGGCATTGCGGTAGAAACAGGTTTTAACAATAGAAGGGTCTTTCTCATTCAGGGTCAGTTTGTCCCAGCCTGCAGCTCACTGAGGGTTTAGATATATTTCCACTGAGCAGGGCCAAAGCTGAGCATCTTTAGGTGCAAACTCACGCTGTGTGGGCTGCAAAGTCAGCTTGACCTTTAATTCATGCAGTATGTTGTTGCCCAGAACAAATACTTCTGCGGCTCCATTGTACTGAGCACCTGAATGATAGTTTTGTTTCAGTTTATTTAATTTAACCAGTTTAATGCTAAACTTTGAGGATCTACTGTATACTTCTTCTGTATTTGGGAGGAGAAACATTTGTCACGGGCCAGTGGAGAGGAAGATTGGCGCTGTGATAAAACACAGACTCAAACACACACAAAAAATTGTATATTTATGTTGATGCGGCAGTTGCACTTCATGAGGGTAGGACTTGTGTGTGACGGTGTGCAGATGATTAATGATGCACGCCATAGGTGATGCACGCCATAGGCTCAACCACTCTCCTCTAGTTCTGTAATAATGTTATTGCTTTGCTGCTCACTACAGTGGCACCATCTGTTACCCAGTACCACTGAATTTGCTGCTGGTTTTTTTTTTTTATAGAATAGACAAGATTAACATGATGAAGTTGTATATTATTGTGTGTTTTGACATAACCGCACATCTGAGGCTTTTTAAAGTTGATGTTTCTGTGGTGACAGACTGAAGCATAATAGTTTTAAACAATCGGATCCTTTTGGGGAATCCCGAAGGAACTTGTAATCCCTCCCAAGTTAGATCTATCCCCAGTGACTCCTCCTGGTACGGGGGG